CATCAAACTGTAAAGTGTCTGTCATGCTCAGTAACACTGAGACAAACTCTTTCTCTAATCTCTGCAACATTCGTCTTTTTCCGTTAGGAGCCACGTGGCATCACCCTCCTCCTATTCTCCACTGTCCAACATGAACAAGCTGCATTCCCACGGAGGCCTCAGCAAGCCACCCTCAGTGAACCAGCTCGCAGGACAGCAGCCCCAGCAACATCACACTGCCCCCTCTTCCATGGCTCATATGGGTGATTATCTATGTGTGTGATTTTGTTTCAAGACATTACTTCCAAAACTGTTACAGTACTTTATCCAGGGTTGCTGCTGTTAGTTTTACTGATCACCCGTCCCTTTCCTACAGGTCCAAACATGCTCAACAGCAACCACATGCAGGCAAATGGAGAAATGAACGGTGGCCACAACAGTCAGAATATAGTGTCTGCTTCTCACTGCAGCCCGCCCCCTCCGTATAACCCTGACCCCAGCCTTGTCAGGTACCTCACCCTCCAATGACACTCCTCCTTTACTCACCTGTAAAAAAAAAAAAAGGCCGCTTGACAATCAGATGCACTTGTCTGGTTAAATGTAAACTAGTGGCATAAGAATACTTTACTTTACTTGGCCATGTTTACATAGTATTATGTCAAACAGTGTTTTGGAAACGTTCTATTTTGCCACAAAATGTGACAAGATTGAGCTGTTTTTTTGTTTTGTTTTGGGTTTTTTTTAAACATAATGTTGTGGCTGTTTTGTAAAGGCTTACAATAACAATACAGATCTGTAAACACCCTTTGAGAGTGCCATAGTGAAGGCCCACTGGAGACTTGGTAACATGGAAAAAATGTGTATACATGGCACAGTTAAAGTGGAAAAGAACGATAAGTAGAAAGGTCAAGTCAGTAATATTTAAAATAAAAGTGAAAAGAGCATTTTTTGTTTTGGGGGTTGTTGTTTTTTTCAGTTTTGGCCCCTTTAATATTAAAATGTTCCTGTTCCGTGCAGAGAAAAATGAAAAACAGAACACAGCAAAAAAAAAAGAAGAAAAAAAAGAAAAACACCAATGCTTTCAGCTGGCTGGATTTATTATTTCAGGTTTCTGCTAGATGCATATAAGTGTTTAAATCACATGTTTATCAGCTCTCATTAAATAATACAGCATAACCTCTCAAGACTTGTAAAACCTCTGCTATGGATTTGTTACTTGCACTTGAAAAGCAGAAACTGTGTGTCTTACCTAGTTCTAAATTCCTTCACACTGACACTGTGTAAACAGCCATTCTTTGCAATGCAATGCAATGCAGCAGATTTTTTTCTTCAAAAGAAATGTTTAATTTCTATTTAATTTTAAACTATATTTTTTCTTTTTTCTTTTTAATTAATTTTACTTTTGTAAGCTATTTTGTCCATTTTGCAGTCATATGACTTGCTCTTGCAATTTTAGCATTTTTGATACAGCAGGATTTGTCTTTTTGTTTTTGCAGACTATTATGTTAATTAAACCGTTAAATTGTACAGCTAGCTTCTTTTTCCAGTTACTTTGTATGTTACCAAAACGTTAACATTCATGTATTTATAATAAAGCTTCTTCATCAAAGCAATAATGGCCTTATGAATCATTAATATTGTATAAATGTATGTTTATGGTTTTAATTTCACTACAGTTCTTCAGATGTATAGTTTCTGTATCCTTTAGTTTAGATCTGTGCCTTAAATCTCCCTCTTATTTTACTTAGAATAAGCTATAGGGACTTGTCCCCCTATAGATATTACTACAGTAAATCCAGAAAATACTTGTTTTTCTATTTCAGTTTTTCTCAGGAGTAATGTTTTTGTTTAAGTCCCAGTTTTAGGTTATATCTCTGGTCTAAGCAGGCCTTCTTTTCTCCCCATACAGCTTTCTCACCAGTCTGGGCTGTCAGAACTTCATTGAGTACTTCACTTCCCAAGGCCTCCAGTCTATCTACCATCTCCAAACTCTCTCCATGGAGGTAACCAGTTTGTTCCTGCACATACAATCTACAAGCAGTAGAAATAATGGACATAATAAGAAATGTTACATGTAATTGAGGTTTATTAAAACAAATAAAAGAAAGAGAAGAAAATGTAAAACGGCAACAAAAAAAGAAACTGCAATAAGAGACACAAAACAGAAAAGTAAAGCAACAAGGTACAAACAAATCCCAGATAATTATTGACCACTAGTGATGATGCAAAGAATTACCTTATTAAGCAGGCTTAATACTTCCTGACTTCCTTTTGCATTTTCAAGCAAACACGTAAAGACACACTCTTATTGCTTTGTGTTTGCTTTTTTGCTACACTCTTGAACTCCTCCAATGTCTGTTTGCCCTCACTAGGATTTGGGTGCGCTAAAGATACCAGAACAGTCCCGCCTCATCATCTGGCGAGGTCTGCAGGACATGAAACAAGGCGCTTCCCTGCAGCTGCCTGCTTCTTCTCATCATCATGACTATCATGGGCAGCAGCTGCTTCGCTCTAGCAGCAACATGACTGCCTCTGCAATGGCGGCCATTGGGGCTGCAGGTGGGGAACTGCAACGCCAGCGGGTCATGGAAGCTGTGCACTTTCGCGTCCGCCACACCATCACTATCCCCAACAGGTCCAGCGTTGTTGGGACATCAGGCATGACGGCTGCTGATGAGTGGGCTGACTTTGGTTTTGACATGCCTGACTGTAAGGTGTCACGGAGCAAGCACTCCATCAAGGAGGAATTCATGGAAAGTGACATTCACTGAGACTGAATAAAATCTTGGATCTTCTTTCCCAGAAGTTATTGTCAGCATCAGCTTACTGCAGTGTAACTACGTGACTAGGGTTGTTAAATATGTGTTTAGCTGCTCTTGTCATATTTTGATGATCAACTTTGATCAATTTTGATTCTGAGATATTTTCAGTGTGCTCATGCACTTTCATGTGCAGCCAGACGTTTGTGCTTGAACTATTGTTCCATCTAATATTTGAAGATAACATAACAAAGTTTACGTCTTCAGTCTTCAAAGCAAAACGCATTGTAACAATATAATTGTCAAAGCAATGCTGAACACACATGATCTGGACTTTGCTTTTTGGAACGCTGATAAGTGCAGAGGCATTTTATTTTGGGTGCACTGTGCAATAAGTAATAACACATTTTTCTTTTACAGCATATGTGAGATTGTTCACAGTAACATAAATGTCAAAAGAGGTAAATCACCACTGCATTTTGTGTTTAGATGCCAAAAAAAGGTTCTCATCTGACTTATTTTTTTTTCTTTAAGTTGTCCTTCACTTGTACAAATGTATATACTTTATCATGTAAATGTTTTGGAGTAGATGTTGTTGGAAATAATAGAGTCAACATGATGTATCTGCTGTTTGAACCAAATGACTAGAACTGGGTAAATCGAGTCCATAACTATGGGAACACAATTGTGTATTTTCAGTGGGTATGATAACGTGATGATGGTGATGTGGTTCGGTGTGGTGGTATCGTTTATGTGTAAAAAAGAAAAAAAATATGTGCTTTGGTGTTAGTAGTTGTACGCTGACACTTATTGTTAAAAATTAGGTATTGCCTAATACTTTTATTACGTTCTAGAAAATATGCCGCTCATTATTTTATAGTAACACGCTGCAAAACAGATAGGAGACAATCAAACAAACAAAAAAAGCATACTCAGTATTATATCTTAATACCAGGGATTTGATTAGATTTGTGAATGGCTATTATGCTATCCCTGTACATCAAGAAAACTAGATAATGAGCAGCATTTTTGTCCTTGTATTTGTATTTTGAAAACCTTGCAGGGCAAGGTACTCATAAATTCATTATAGCTGACTCTGTAGCTAATCTTCATGGCACTTGTTTGTAGGTATTTAATAACATTCCACTTTAATTTCTGGATTGCCATCATGAAGCTGAATGGTTTTCTTATTGTGTTATATTTGCTTGACCTTTACTTGTACCAGGGCGAAGGTTTTTGTCTCCCTTTCTAAGGCCCATTCTTAGAAAGACAATTTTCGTCGTTTTTCATCTCATTATTACAAATGGTCAGAGAGAGAGCACTTTAATGCGATTAAATCATTTAGGTGTTTCAGTATTAACACCACAGTGTAAATAAAAGCATTTCTCCGTTTCTTGTTCTTTTTTTTTCTTTTTCAAAAGAAAAAAATTGTTTACTGGTGTGTTTTTATTCATTCGTTTCTGCTGTTGTTAAAATCACGAATTAAATTGGTTAAAACGTCTGCCTCTACGGCCTCTTTTTTCAAAGTGACAAGGTTTTCAACCCAGTGGTCGGAAATACTAGTACTGAATGTTTAAGGAAACAGGCCAACCAGAGGAAACATTCTGATGCTGCGCTGACTTTTTATTATTTGAACCGAGAAATCGGTTCGTTTGTGATCGTTGAGGTCTGAAGAGTCATAGCGAATCGAGGTGTTCGGATTTCTGCTACTCAGCCTGTGGTATCCTCGCGGAAGTACTGACGTGTACACACCAGTTTACACGAGAAGTGGCTAGTTTAGCTAGCTAGGTAGAGCCGGGTAGTGTCACAGCGGCCGTATCAGGTAAGAAAGAACTGCCATTGACAATTTTCGCTGTAACTGCTAATACAGCTGAGAGATACAAAGAGGTATTGAATCGCAGAATCAACATTGATTGTGATCGCATCATTCACTGAATATGTAGGTGTTTAGTATAGAATGGTTATATTTTAACTGTGCTAGCTAGCTGTGAAACTATTGGCAACGTAGCACCGGAAGTGAGTTGTCAATTTTGTGAAGTACTTGCTGGGTGTTGTAGTTTAAATGTGTCCGCAAATCCATTCTTGCGACCTAGGAGTAGTCAATAATAAACTACACATTCTTTTTACATACTTTTACATGTGCCCAATTGGAGTTGTGGGAAATGTAGTCCAATACTTTCATTCTAACGGTTGAAGGGGGTCAAATGAAGCTGAACAAAACTACATCACCCATACAAACGTTAACTGGGGCCAAAGGTAGTGTACGTTTCGACGGCTAGGACCGCTTTCGGGGCTAATTTCTAAGCTAACGCGAAGAATTTAAAATAATATAAGATAAAATAATACCTCTAGTACAACTTATTCAATTTGTAGTGCACATCGTAGTTATTTTCCATTTTGCAAATGAGCCTATTTTGGTATATATTGCTTCCTAGATGTTATCCTGCCTTCCTTAAGCTGTGAGCTAGTTATGCAGCTAATGCTAACCAGGCACAACCACAGCTCGTCACGGTCCTGTTCTTTTCTCCATTAAAATAAAAATAGCAAATCATTAAATGTCCTAACGCGTAATGCGTAGTTATCTAAGCAATCAACCTAGGCTACAGTGGATATAAATGTTGTTTTGGTGAGCAACCGACAAGCGCACCGAGAATATTTATGATCAGCTAATCAATTAAAATTCTATTAAAGGACCTAGGGTTAGATTTAATTTACAGAGATACATATTTAAATTGATTATTTAAAGAAAATTACAAAGATTTTGTCACCTTGACTATTTGCGCCTTGATAGTTATCTGATCACTCTGATTAACCCCTCTTCTGGACATATGCACCTCGCAGATACAGGTCTTATCGGACAGCCTATGTCTATTGTATTTACTTGTATCACAGTTTACAGAGTATATATTACACAAACTGAAACGAAACGTGTGTTCCAAAATGTGCAGTTCTTGGTAAAATCGTTCACAAATTTTTCGTTTTACTGGGTATTTATTTCCAAATCCTTTAAGACAAAATGGGCACAGAAGAGTTTGTCATTTGTCAATTTATCACCTCCATTTTGTATCTTCAACTGGGGCCGTTGGTAGACATGGTCATGCTGAATAAGAGTATTGTGCAGTACTTTTATTAAAGTAGATTAAGTTCATACACCACTAATCAAAATCTTTTTGTCGTCCCAATAAGAATGTCAGAAGGGGACAGTGCTGGGGAGTCAATCCATGGGAAATCTTCTGTTGTGGCTGCCTTTTTCACACGAGTTGGACAGGTAATGTGTGAGATCAAGCATATCATATTCTTTTAAATAGGTTTAAATTTAGGGATGCACCGATTGTGAAAATTCTGTCTTTTTAAAATGCCTTTTTAGATATATCTTTTTTGAACCAAGTCATTAAACAAAGACTTACCATTTTAAACATTAGCATTCATTGAGCCAAATCTCAGTAGAGAAATTTTTAAAACTTTTAAAACTGACTTGCAAATATAAGTACGTCAGAACTGATGTTCACAACAGATAAATATGAACTTCATGTTTTTCAGCGCACCTGCAATGTTTTATCTGGTTTCTTTTTGTCACAGGTCTATCAGTCATGGCTAGACAAGTCAACACCATTCTATGCAATGCGATGGGCAGGAACTCTACTACTTACTCTTGTCTACATGATCAGAGTGTATCTACTACAGGTAATTGTGTATTTCTGTGTGTTTTTCAGATTTATTTTTAATTAGTCAGCCAAGTTAAAAAATCTTAATGAGGAATTCTAAATACTTAAATTTTTTCCTTGGCCTATAATAAATACTATCTTTATCAAGTTTAAAATGCCAACTCTTTATAAAGAGGGTTTGAAATCCTCATTCACCTCTAGTAGTTTTTAACCAATTGTATCTTACTTTCAGGTCAAGGTTATTTCATTTTGCTATTATTTATTAAAAGTAAAATAATGCATTTTATAGTACATCTCTCTGCCTTTATTATTGTCTTGTTTTGACTGGGATATTGCTCTATTCGTTAGGTGTTTATATAATAAAGTTCTTATGTGTCTTGACTGATGTGTCTTGACTGACTCTAGCAAAGACGTCCTTTAATAAGGTTATTTTCTGATGCTCCTTTTCAGGGTTGGTATATAGTAACATATGCTTTGGGAATCTACCATCTCAACCTGTTCATTGCTTTTCTGTCGCCAAAAGTGGATCCCTCACTGCTTGAAGAAGGTTAGTCAACTCAGTCTCATTAAAGTAGTGTTTGTGATGTGAACATGGAAGTAGGCTACCTCATGGGGTATTACAAAACTGTTCATTTAGACCTTAGTACTTGCATCTAATCAAAAGTCTAAGCCAGCTACTGCCAATCTGGTTTTTTTTTTTCTGAGAATTTTCTAATATAACTTTTAATTTATTATGAAAGATTTTAAAATAGTTACTGGAACAATAGACTTACTGTACACTTGCATATTTAAAAGTACGTATCTCAAAACTGAAATCCTTGAGTCCATATAGATACAGAAAGGGCACCGCATCTCAGTAGATAACAAAGTCTCACAAACAGATTCTTCCTCTGTGCCATCTATTACTACTACTCTTAGGCACTTTGCAAAATGTTCTCTCATCCGTGCCTTTCTATTGTGTGCCTTCCTTCCGTTTTGTATATATTCCTGTCGTCTGCCGTCTGCTACTATTTATATTTTATACCATGCACAGTTGGCGTGGAGCACCCAAATGTGGTTTTTTAGTAGCACTCTGTTTATGAGCAAGTGACCTCCTTGAATGGAATGTGTACAGTAGTGACTGTTCCCCAAAAATATATGAATTAGCCATTTTTACTGTATGTAACTGAAATTGTCCTATTCCTAAAGTGTACGTTGTTGTTGTTGTTGACGTTCTTGTTGCTGTTATGGGATAACTCAACTGGTAACCTATATTTCCTACAGATGAGGGCCCATCCCTTCCCACCAAGCAGAACGAGGAGTTCCGCCCTTTCATCAGGAGGTTGCCTGAATTCAAATTCTGGTGAGAGTTCAACATGGTCACCCAGGGAAATTGCAAATTATTTTCTTTAGAACAACCTGTGTGCTGAAAGATTATATTAAGCAAAGCTCATTTAGAAATGGGTATAGCATTTTAGGGTGAAACTAAAGACACCGAGTTTAATTCATTTTTGTATATTTTGATTTGACCTCATTGTCTCAAATTAATTTCTACTTCATTGACATAAAGGTTGTGTCTGTAACCCTGACTTCCAAAAATAGTTTAAATACAAACATTTTCTTCAGATTTTTAAAACCACAACTTAATTTATTTTCACAGCAGCAATAACTTTTACTCACCACCTGCTGGTAGCTTAACTTAGCATCGATTTCTGCCATTCTGTGCTGTACCAATTTTAAATTGTGTGTTAGGTCTTGAATCTCATTTGCATTTACAAATATTGTTTTCTCTTATATACTAAAGAAGAAAGAGAGGAAAACACACATTTGCTTGATATCTTTTTCTTTATATCAGATATGTACCTGATGCATGAAAATATCATCTTTGTTCCCTTTGGATGTTTATCTGCTCGATTAAAAAAAATTTGACTTTCAATGTAACATGCTTACCCATGTTAAGTGGATATTGGGATATAACAATTAGAGGATTAAATTATTTGTTCATTTGTTGTTTGGAGGGTTGCTGACTAAACTAAAGATTTTAAGTCTTATATTTTATTACGTCTTGCTAAGAACATCTTTCTGGTTTCTACTGAAATTTGTGTCAGACTACACTTTGTTGCATTTTCCACTACCTTCTCTTTGTTAATCTCCAACCGTACCTAGTGATTTAGTACTGTGTAAAAGATTTAGGCAGAAAACAAACAAATACATCAGTACAAATTATCTTAGATACTGTGGAATACAATTAAAGTACAAAGCTGGTCAGTTCTCGAGAGAGTATTCAGTCTGTGTTGGACCTATTTATTAGAATGGTCTCACTCTGTTTTACTCTTAAAAGAATCTCAAGCCTGCGGTCTAGTTTCAAACGAAACTTTTTAAAATGCAAAAGCCTAACCAGATAAAAGTTTTCGCGCTCTGTCTACTCTATATGCAGACATTCTCTTTCTCTTTATAACTTACATAATCTTGTTTTTCTGTACATGGGTGTACATGGACTCCTTGTTCTTGTTGCTTAAGATAACACTTTGATAACACCCTGACTGTGTGTTTGGGGTTGTTGTCATGCTGCTAAATTTAGGACACATTTAAGTGCACAGTACAATCCCCATTTGCTAAGTTACCTAAGTGTTTAGGATGATGATTAATTCTAAATCCTTATTTTAATCAAAACTTTAACAGTGACATTGTTTTTCCTGAGTTTGCTACTTTTCTTTTCAGGCATTCAGCGACAAAAGGCATCGTCATCGCCATGATTTGCACATTTTTTGATGCCTTCAATGTGCCAGTATTCTGGCCTATACTTGTAATGTACTTCATCATGCTCTTTTGCATCACCATGAAGAGGCAGATTAAGGTAAGTACAAACAGACATTTCTTTGCTTAGTACATATTGATCATAGCTGCATTAGTCAAAGGAGCTTGCAAATGTGAGTGGACGCCTTAACGCCCACTCACATCCTGGGCTCTCTGACCTCAGGAATTCGCATGATAAGGTGGAGCCAGGTTTCACAATGAGCTCACCTGAAACTCTGGCTGATTGGGACCCACACTCAGTTTCACACCTTGGCTCAGGCGATTAGAGGATCATCAGGGGGTCCTTTTGTCCCTCTGTGGGGGGATACTCCCACTAGGTTTAAATCTGGGACTCCCCACCATTTGACCTTAGAACTGAAGAAGCTTCTCGGATGAGAGGTGAAACGTCTTCAAGTAACTTAAAGAAGTCCAGACGCTTTTCTTTGCAAGCTCCTTTGACTACGATGACCTGGATGACTGAGAACCTTCACAGACATAGCTGCATTAGATTAACAGTAATAGTCCCTATTTGAAACCTTGAGCTAAGTATTCCGACCAGTGACATCGTGATGTATTTTGAAACATATTGTGACAATAAGTATGTCTAACTGAGAAGCCAAAGTCACTGGAACTTATTAATTAGAAGGTAATGATGCCTAAAGCACAACTCATTTTTGTCTGTTTAGCACTTATCTTAGAGTATAATTGTATTTAATTTAAAAAAAACCAATTTCCTTGTTATAAAGATACTACAGATCAAGATATGATATCATACTATGTCATAAATCAAGTCATTGTGTTAGAGCCTACATAGCTGGATTTTGTTTGTTTTTTTAATCTCAGAGGAGTGGCCATTGTAAACAGACCCCAAGGTTACTTGCATTTTTTATATACATACAGCAAGCAAGGACAGGACTATTACAGTTCTTTGAACTCAGTTAACAATATTGAACAATAGTCCTACACCAACTGCTTCCCTGCTGTTGCATAACTAAATCTTACTGTTAGAGTTGTCATTGTTCCTGAAGATATGTTGTTCAAGAGTGAGTTGCCCAGTGTCCTTATGACAGTTTGGTCTGAAAGTGCCTACAGTGCAATAAAAACATTGCAGTCCACAAATTGCTTTTGGGTTAGACAGAGCCACAGGTTTAACCTTATATTTTATTGAAGGACCTTTATTGTATGAAACGGGTGTCATTGTTGTTATCTGCAGTGCCGTTTATATTGTGGTTCTGAATGTGTTGTAAAATATGCTAAGTCACTAAAAGTGTATGCACAAGTCTTAAAGTAAGTGTTGCTAACTCTCCTTTTTACTTCCTTGTCTTTTCTAGCATATGGTCAAGTACAGATACCTACCCTTCACACATGGGAAGAGGACATACAAAGGCAAGGAAGACACAGGGAAAGCTTTTGCTAGTTAAAAAACTCCCACTCTCCCTTCCTCTTTGTTGCATTTAAAATTTATTGGCCACAGCCATTGGGGAATGATGAGGGTTAGAGATGTATTTTCTTTTTGTCAGTTGAACAGTAACACGAAAACATGAAAAATACAAGTTTTGATCCACAGTGTTCTCAGTGTTGGACAAGGATATGAGCAGCATGGATCAAATTAGTCTAAAAATCTAAAATGCTCCCTTTGTCTATTGAGGGTTTTTTTTTCTGTTTGTTTGCTTTTTGGGGGCTTTTTTTTTGTTTTGTTTTTCAAGAATTGTTCTGCAGTTACTCAGTAATAGTTAGGACTAAGTGCTACCTTTTGCCTTTCTAACCCTAAAGAGTAACAGTAAAGTCATCAAAACTGAAAGAGATTTGCAGTAAAATGAGTGATTTTTTTTTTTGTTGTTGTTTTGTTATGCTTTGTTTCCACTGGTTTATTCCAGTACACCCCCTCTCTAAAATTCACTAACTTTTAATTCATGTAATTTCTCATTTACGAAAATATGATAAAGTTGTTAACGTGATATCAGATGGAAATGCAAGAGTCTTCAAATTAAAAATTTTCATCTTTGTGATGAGAATATCCTGCTGCTCTGACTTAAATATATCTGGCACTTGTCCTTTGTTCTAAATAAAGATACCTGGAAAAATTGGCTGCTTTTTACGTGAATATGCATTCATGAAGCCCCCCCCCAAAAAAAAAAAGAAAAACAACCCCAAAACAAAACAAAAAACTTCCTGTTAATCTATAAAATGAATTGCATCCAGCCAGCACAATGTTTAAAAACTTTGATTGTACATTTGATTTGTTAGCTACCCTGTATAATTGTGTAATTCAAGGAGAGTGTCACTAATCCCAGATAACTTAGTTGCCTGTAGTCTGCAGTCATTCTTAAATCACTTATTTCTACTTTTCCGCCTTCGTAGAGTTTAACTACTGGGAAACTGGGATGGAAATCATTTTGGGTGTAATTACCCCAGGGAGATAAATTGGGTGACTGAGCAATTAAAATGGCAAGTCAATGAATTTGCTTTACCTCAGATTTGTAGACCGTTAAGTGGGTATTTATTCAAAACATAATGTGTCCTAAAGTGCATAACCAGTATTCCAGATAAATTCATAATGTGGCTTATTTGAGAGCAGTCAATCAAGCAAGTTTATTTCAATGACCCCATCTCTTTGAAATATTTAGCGATCTTTGTTTCAAAGACTGAGGCTCATTTGGAATTTGTACACTGGCTGTTGTTGTCTTTCACATTCTGTGTAAAATCTTTTAAGAGTTGTGGTAAATGTAGTCATTCCAAGCAAACTGTTGTTCTCTTTCTTTTTCAGAGGAAACATAAGAAAACAGAGATTGAGAGCTTTTATTAAAAGAAATGGATGAAGTGGGTGGCGATCACATACTTTTCTATGAACCAGTTGATTTTTTTTTTTCCTTTTTTTTTTCTTTCAAAATGCTGCAAATCTGTGATTATTAAACTTTGATCAGCACTGTAGTAAGGGATCAAAAAATTTCCTGTAAAAAGTTTGTTTCAAAAGGTTGTCTGGGTTTGTGTGTATATAAATATATATATTTTAAAATATAATTTTTTTTTTTTAAGAATTTTTTTTCATCCACCACCATACTGTTTGAGTGTGAAAAACTATTTCAGTTGAAGTTTATGGAAGTAAAACTGCTAAATTGGGTTCCAGATCTGATAAATTAAATGTTTTTCATGGATTGCATGTTATTTTCTTGTGCTACAGTTACAAACAGAAACTTGATTTTAATAACTTAAGTGTAATTTTTTCACTCCAAATGCTATTAAAGAGGCTGTGTCCCTTTGAACAGTGCATTTGAATCTTGGCTTCATATTTTATAAGTATTCATGGAAAAGGGTAGCCTTGCAACTGAAGACAGTTGGAGAGGTCCAGTGCATTTCTGTTTATCCTAATCAAAATTTATTTTCGTACAGCTCTTTCTTTGTAATTTTTTTCTTTTTTAAGTTAATGGCACATATGACTGGAATCTGAATATATTTGGTCACCTCTATAAAATAAGGAAATCCATTGTTATCTTTTGAGTTGTGTCCAGCATTGTCAGATTAATGAGACAAAGTTGCCATTTAGCTGCTGATCTTTGCATACTGATTTGTGAATCCTTCAATGATAGATATTCCTCAGAGGCTCCAGCATTACCAGTGTCTCATAACATCAGACAGAGTGTTAAGGCTCACCGTAGACTGGTAAATACTTCTTGTTTTGAGATTGAAGAGCATCGTTGTCTATCACTGTGTACTGGGGTGTTTTCTACATGCTTTGGCTCAATACACTGTTTCAACATCTGAGTTTCGGGTGGAAGGAGATTATTTGATAGGTGGACTTTTTAATATTCATCAGCTGAATGACTCTCTTCTTCATAAAAGACAGAAGCCATTGACTGCTCCAGGTAAGTTAAACTCTGTTGGGTACTTTCTTGTGATAAAACTAATAAAAACCGAAAAAGTTTACCTGACGCTGGTTAAACTGGTAATAGAAATCTTAAACCAGTGAAATGAATTGCTGTGTTATTAATATTTATTTTTTAAAGTCAGCACTGCTGACATGGTCATTTAGCTAGAAATCCTATTTTAAGTGATCATAATTATTCAGGGATGTCCAAAATTGCACATATTTACTACTGTCCTTCATCTCCCCACAGTGCACCTTTTATTCTGTCCAGTTATCGAAGGTTTCAAATGATGAGATTCTCTGTAGAAGAAATCAACAATTCTACCAAGCTACTGCCAAATGTGTCACTTGGCTATGAAATCTTTGACCACTGCACAGATTTTGTGAGTTTTCCAGGACCTTTAAACCTAATTTCTGTTAATGGCTTTATGCGCCCTCTGGAAGAACCACACAACTTATCCAAAGTGATAGCAGTGGTCGGGACTTATACAAGCCCTCAGGCACGAGCTGTAGCCCCACTGTTCATGATGAATCTCATTCCAATGGTAAACCTATGAACCCTTATGTACTTTGACATTTTTTTAAAACCAGATCAATATTTTTTATTAAAAAATATTCTTTACAAAAGTAAAATCAAGAAATTATGTTTTTTATGTTTAAAATAATACAAGTTTCAGGAGTATAAATGATTGGTTATTGTTAATGATCACAGTGACATTTTCTCTGTTGCTCTTAACAGGTCAGTTATGGAGCTTCCAGTTCAATCTTTTCAAGAAAACAGACCTTTCCCTCTTTCTTAAGAACAGTGCATCCCAATGAAGAGGTCATAAAAGGCATTGTTAGTATTGTCAAGCAATTCAACTGGAAATGGGTTGCTTTTCTTTATGTTAATAATGATTATGGAACAGATGGCCTGGACTTGTTTTTAAAAGCAATTAATGAGACTCAAGGCATTTGGTATATAATACAGATTACAGTCTAATGTTTAGACAGATTGATGCAAAAAACATTAATATCATTATTGTTTTTGCACCTGAATGGACTGTTGAAGAACTCATGGAGTCAGTAAAAAGAGAAAATGTTACAAACAAGGTGTGGATAGCAACTGATACATGGTCCCTAAACAAAAAAAATAATAGACCAGATACAAGGAAGCAAAAATATTGGCACTGTACTTGGGGTTGCTCAGCCTAAAATGTCAATACCTGGTTTTAGTGAGTTCATTCATTCTTTCAAGGCCAAGAATCACTGTGAAAATGCAGAGCAACAGAAGTTTTGTAATCAGATTTGCAACTGCGGTAGCCTGACTGCTGAGGAAATCATTCATGCAGATCCATCGTTCTCTTTTCCTGTTTATTCTGCCGTGTATTCCATTGCTCATGCCTTACACAATATCTTACAATGTGGAGCTGATGGATGTAAAGACAATATTACAGTCTGCCCCTACATGGTAAGCATTCTAATTATTTGATAATTTCTCACTTTACTTTTTGAAAATTATCTAAGAGTGAATAATTGTTCTTATCCATAGTAAAACCAGTGATAGTGTATATGAAGTATGTGATAAGCTAACTGGAATCTCAGAGTTAGTTAAACCTGTAGTTAAAGTAATAAAAGAAGACTAAAAATGTGATTTGGGTTACTAGACTTCATCCACCTACTGAAGCATTTGAGCTACCTGTGACAAAAGGTTAATACAGGTATAATTAACTAGATTCTCCCAGAAGATTTCCAAAGCATTATCAAAAAACACTGATTTAATCCAATCTAACTTTACTTGTTAGTCCAGTGTCTATATACACAGGTGAGGCACTCATCCCTCTAAGTGGGGCTCTACCAATATATCTGCCAATGCACCATAGAAAATATTTGAGCTAAAGAGAAGCCTAAATCTGTGCTCATTAGACCATAAACATGAAAGTTAATCTACGACAGAATTATTAGGTTAAGCAAATTGTGTTTGTCCAAACCTCAGTCATTGTGAACTCAGTGTTACTGTTGTGTTCCAACATCAGGTTCTTACAGAGTTGAGGAAGACAAATTTTACCCTTTTAAACCAAACCATTCAGTTTGATGAGAATGGTGACCCCATGTTTGGATCCCACTCAGTCGTTTTTTGGGGCCCCAGTGGTGATGTGCAGGAAGTGGGCTATTATACTTGTCATCCATCATTCCATTTCTTCATCAACGACACCAAAATTCAGTGGCATACAAGTGCACAAGTACGTAGTAGTAATAAGAAGTTTTTTTTATTTGTTTTTTCAACACAAAGATTAATAATAAAATTAAGTTTTAGCAATTTAGTTTTTTAGACTTCTACCTAGATACATATAAGCACAAAGCAGCTACCAGTTGTAGGTGTTCATAAGGTGATTTGCATGGCTGTCTAGATGTAACAGGGAAATACTTTTACATGTTACGAAACAATTTTAGAAATTCAAAAAACCTGTGTGAATATATTTAATGACTGGTACTTTCCCTGTAATTTACCGTTACAGTAAATGGTAGGGAAGTGCAGTATCTTCTTTCTGACCTTTTTACACCCAATATTCTTGTGTAGGTACCAAATTCAGTGTGTTCTGAAGAATGTAAAATAGGCTACAAGAAACAACAACTTGGAATCCACAAGTGTTGCTTCAGTTGCACAATTTGTCCATGTGGGACTTATATCAACAGCACAGGTAAACTGTTTTTGAATGACAGTAGAAAAAGAGTGAAAGTAGTGCTGTCACTTGTAATGGAAGTTAAAGTTATGCTTTTTAAAGACTATTATTGTTTTCATATAGACTAAGCCATAGTCTTCCATTTTTGTTCCAGCCACTGCTCATATAAAAGCAGTCAATTATTAGTCGTGATAGATTTACACTAAGGTGTATAGCTGCAAACTGTAAAGTACAGGGCAGGTTTAACATGAAGGAAGATCTTTAGAGAGCATAGTGTATCACAGGTCAAATGTTTGTAGTTTAAAACAGACATAAACACCTTTGAAGCTTTAATTTTTAAATTCTTGTTATTTTTAAAGCAATTTTGCATGGTTCACAATCTTTGCTTGAATGTTGGTACGGCTCAGTTCATCAACAATATGATGTTATCTCTTCCTCTAAGCCCGCTTTCTGATTGGCTGTACCACATATAATTTCCATAAATAAAATTTTGTGCCGATGGACACCTTTTCTACCGCTTGCCACCATGGAGGTCATGAGAACTGTAACATGACAATGGATGGGACAAACATCAGAAGAAACAAACATTTGTTAAACAATACGTTAAATATTTGCTTATTTAGGGGCACAATAGTAGATCTAGTTTTTCAATCATAAACTGTGCTTACAAGTTGATCAGTCTGAATTTTTACAAAATCTTGTGCTTGCGACTACTGATAACTGACTACTGACGACTAATGACTAATTAAACCACTAATAATTGTGTGTCTAAATACAAACACAAACATACATGTATGAACTCTCAAACAATGGAGAAAGGTATCATGGGTCTACTTTAAAGATGCTTCTTTTCTGCCCATCTCTCTTGTGAAACAGACAATCCCTCCAAGTGCATCACCTGCAAAGACACAGAATGGTCTGAAGAAGGAAGTACATCATGCAGTCTGCGGGTGGTGGAGTATACACCATTTACAGACATTTGGGGTCATGGTTGGTGCCTTTATCTTGGTGTTCATCTCACTGGCCTTGTCTGTTCTCTTTGACCTTAACTACGACACACCTGTTGTCAAATCTGCTGGGGGACCAATGTGCTTCCTAATTTTAGGTTTGATTGATTGATTGATTGGTAATTTATTTCAACATGTGAACAATATACAAGTACATTTAGAAAAGAAAATAAGAAAGAAAAAAAA